TGTTATATGTATTATAATCATACATCGGGCATGGCCGAGTTGATAGTTTTCGAAATCACTTAGGCCGTTCATAATAATAATAATAATAATATATGAAGTATGAAGGGCGGTAGAGTTCATGAATGTGTTCATACGTGTCAAATACGGACAATTCTAAAAGTTGATTCGAAAAATGCCCATAAGCAAAAGCAGTTCATGGTGTTCAGGGAGGAAAGGGGTGGAAAAGTTATTCGTTATTGTTTTTCACAATCTGCCAAACAGGCGGAAAATGCTTTCTGATAATAGTGTAAAATATTCATCGTGGACATCGACGCYGGCCGTAACCAAACTAAACATATAATGCTATTATGGTTCACGTCAATTCAAAAACAATCACGTCATAATTCATAACATTAAGCAAATTTATAGAGTGGCGGGCGCACAAGTTTTAATCGAAAATCATTTTTGATTTTACCGTATTTGTTATAATATATATTTCAGTAGAAAATATCAAATGTCGAGAAAAGCGTACGCGTATTTTAAATAATTCAGTAAAACAAATATTATAATATTTGTGTATCATATCTCATTCGATGTTGATATAGGTAGTAGTGTGTAATTGAAGCACAGAGATAAAATAAACAAAATTTGGTTGTAACCACCATRCTGTAAACTGTTAGTCGTTAGATCTACTATCAACATCAGAAATACACTATTTTACCCACGGTAAATTTCAAAATAATGATTGATTCAATAGAAATAACGAAATATGGTAGCAATAGCTATTTTTATTTTATTTTTGATAAAATACAGACCTGGGCCCAAAACAAAAAATAATATATAATAGTAATATACTTTTGTTATTTACTGGTTCTAGTTTATTCATCACAATAATGAACTATTAATAGTATAGAATGAATATAAGTTAAAAAAGAATACAGAAAAATAGGTAGGTACATAAAAATACGAGACGTGAATATTACTGCAGCAATCAGAAGTGGGCTTAAAAAGACAACATCCGTTTTATATACACGGGAACACATTATTATACCGTCACCGTGTAAACTATACAGGCATGAATAATACTCGTTTGTGTCCGCTGACGGTATAATTTTTAAGGCAATTATCAATCAAGTACCTATATACAGTTCGTGAAGCGTTTTATTAGTAATAACTGCAAAATGACAGCTTCAGAGGCGATTATGTAAGTTATTCGGGGCTTTTAAACGAGCATACAAAGCATATTATACTCGAACAGTACTTTGACAGTTTTATTTTTAGAATCTAAAAACGATAGTAATAATATACAAGTGATGTAACTAAGCTATGTGCAATTCAAACAATTTATATACCAAGTTTAATATTAAAAACACAACGCATTATTTCGGATCACACGGCCATCGTTTTACAATCGCACAAGATGCGAAGCAGAATTTTAAACATATATTTTGCAATGAAGAATTCGTTTTGCTGAAGTCAGTCTCCAGCAAAATATTTTAGTTTCATTAAATCTAAATGTTTTTGAAGTTTCCTTTCTAAACACAGAAATATGTATGAGTAGGTATACATAGCTGAGTATAACAGTAGTAGTTTTCACCTGAAGTTCAGCCAGGTATAGTGATTAACTTCAGGGAAACCTATATGTAGTACATCGTAAATTTCCAAACTTTAATGTTGCCAACTCTCAGATTTCCAGATGTTTAAAGCTTAATCAGAAAGGAACTTTGTTAATGGTTGCGTACCTATAACGTATAACAAGGCAAGATGTGTAATAGTTATTTATTATAAGAAAACGGTCGGAACGATGTCTTGAGTACTATAGGCACTTAAGTATATTATTAATTAACATATTTATTTAATTAAAATAACATTAATTGTTTTATTTTTTAGGACATTAATAATAGCGTAATGTATAATCGTAAAAGTACTTACTATAACCTGACTACACGGTTTAATATGATTTTTTATGTTCATGTTTTACCTATGTAGACACTTACTAACTGATTAAGTCCATATTCAATAAATATTATACTCGTACGCATACATTTGGCAAAACATATTTTTATGTTCGGCTATATCATGTTCTCGAGGCAGTCGTATTGTTGGAAATCAAAGGCATTGTACAACAAAAAGGAAAGAAAGAAAACTAACTTATACACATGCGCGACTTTTGCATTATAACCGGGCTATTGACTGTAACGTATTCAAGTGGAAAACCCTATTTAACAGTGTCATTTCTTATCATGACAGATTCCCGGTATTGAATGGATGAATGTTGAACGGAAGATTTTTTTTTACAATCTTTTACGTTTTTGAATATATATTTTCTTACAGCGCAGGTGGATGTTAGAAAAATGAAAAATAACTTTTCCGACGATACGTTTTATTTTTTTCTGCAATGGAACATATATATATATACAATTAGCTCGTTGTCGTTGTCATGTTGCTACGGGCAACTGTGACGGTGGTCCAGTGGGATAGGCTATTAGTTAATGGAGTCCCGAGGATTGTTGTGCAGAAGCTATTAAAGACGTGGAAAGACTTGGCAGCGAGACGAGGCGGAGAGACGTGTAAGTAAAGCCCTGGGGGGCCCTAAGCCGATTTAACGGCCAAACTCTGCGATTCCTATGCTGCTGAAAGGTGCACCCAACTGTATGCTCATATATACGAGCGTTTGTGCAGGTCATCATAGCGAGATTTTTTCATCAGATTTTTAAACACGTTAGTTTAATTCAAAAATGTGACACGGATGATAGGTATTGGGTTTGAGGTAGCTTTATTCTCGCCCCAACCATGCCGTTAAATAAAACTATTTCACTATAAACGTATTACTGCTGCGCCAGGCTATTAAGCTCCCAACCATAAAACAATAATTTAGAATAATGGTTCGAGTAGAAAAATAAAGTGGTAAAAACAAGCCAGGACGAGATATGCAATATGCATGAACCAGAAACAAAATAATGTGTTTATATATACGAATTTTAGTCAATATCTTTCGTTCCACACGAGTAATATCATACGTTGTCCAGGGTTTACAAAATACGTCGATTTTTTTACGAGGTACTTTGGGAAATTTAAGGTTTTAAGAGATTTTCTGGTTTCACGCGAATTTTCAGATGTCCATAAGAATGTTAGGAAAAACCGATCACGTTTTCAGATAAAAATATATATATATTTCCTATATTAAACTTTATGTACTTTTGGCTACTTCTTTTATGAAAAAATGCTTATACACACACATAGCTATAGAAAAAAATCTTTTTTTATTAAATAAATTTGTGAATATCGCAACTATATAAAAGTATATATTAGTTTAAATATATTGAATAACTGAGAACTGATTGAAATTAAAAAACAATTTCTATCACTGAAGATATGAATATCAATTTTATTGAATAGAAATCATATATATATATATATAAACAAGTTTTTAAATATTATTAAGATAAACTCAATATGTTATGTATATTTCCTATAGTTATACGAAATTCAAATGAAATAACTTATATTAATAATACAGTTATAATAATTGTATAAATTAGTGCATATATTATTTTGTTTATTACAAACAATTTCTCACGCAAAGATTAGAGTTTAAATTATTTAGCTTATGCATTGAACTGGGTTGGATAGATAGTCATTTTATATTAACTATATAATATAATTAAAAAGTATACCGCACATTAAATTATTTATATAGTTGTTTAATGAACTTATAAAATTAGAATTACAAAATTAAAATACTTAAAAAAAAAAAACTATAATTAAACGCATTATAGTTATTATTAATAACTTATTAAATTGAGTTTTTAATATTATATACCTACATATAGTTTTATACCTATAACACTGACTTACTAACTTACATTATTATAACTTTTTTTTTTATAAGATAACAAAATAAATGCATTAAATGTATTTTATATATTGATGGTTATGTGTAGATTTTAAAGGGTATTACATATAGGATATATCAAACTAAATCATTCATACAACTATTTCATAGTCACACGAATTATTATATGATAAGTCCCAATTAGTATATTAAATATACAAAACTTTCTAACTGTGATTTTACTAATTATATTCTCCAACAATACTGGTATGCGTATATTAAAATAAAAGGTTTGTAAAACTTTTCTGAAAGTAAATCGATTAACCTTTTAACAATAAAAAATCAATCTAAATATTATAGATTTGGGATACACAATTTCGCGTTCTAAAAAAAAAAATTGAGTAAGAGTATGTATATAATATGTACCCGTGATTTTGTAGCGGGGTGAGGGTCGCGTCCTGCGGGGGAACAAAAATGTTAATTAAAAAGTTAAACTGAAAACTAATTGTTTGTCGGTTAAATGAGTTTTTTTGCTCTGTCCTGCTACTGTTGAACAACTTAAATTCATTTAGAGAGGATATCGATTTAGGAACAAATTAATTTTAAAGACAAAAATATTTTATGGTAAAACTCACTTTCTTTGTACTGTATCACGTTCTGGTGTTTTTCCGTGATCACCAGGCACCTTCTGCAGTCTTCGTCCCTATAACGAAAAGAAAAAAAAAACGGAAATCAATATATATGTATATACAAAGGTTTAACTTATTCCGCTCTTGTCTCGCACAAAAGTGATTAAAAATTCCACTGACAAAAAAAAAAAAAGTAATAATTCTTGATAAGTAAAACAATATTAGGCGAAATTGAATTCCCGACGCCATTATTGCCAGACCGTCAGCGGCTGCAGCATAGCTGGTAACTGTTTGGAGAACAAATTTGGTTCTCCCCGTTCTCCTTTTTACGGCTAAAACTACTTTTTCCCCGTCCGTTTTGCGGTACTTAATTAAGAATTAATGAACGGTCGGCGGATCCCTCGTAAGACGTGGCCCGTCGGTTTCTNGGGGGGTAAGGATAGATGTTTTTCCAAGGGCGTCGCCGTGGAATGACTCGCCTGGGGCCCATAAAACATCCACTCCCCGGCCATCCACTGACTCGTATACACCTGTCGATGTCACCGAAATTTACTCCGTACGAGGACCGTTCGCACGACCAGGACCTTTTAATGAAAACCCATAATATGCTTTTAACACATGGGACACCGACACGCGCAGCCGTATTAAATGGGGATCGCAACAATTTAGAAAAYTATTTGAATTGAATTTCGGATACGATCCACATCGTACGTATATATAGAGATCTAAATACAAAACTGCCAGGGACACGTATATATTGTGTGGGCCATTATGTTTGTTTATAATGGCRCAAAAGAAAGTTTATAAAATTAAAATGTTCCAATGAAAAAAAAAACCTATTCTTGTACAGTGATTAATATAACTGTGAGTGCATCATTTTGAAATTCAATTAACACATTTATTTTGTATTTCACAGAGACGTGTTGTTGTTTTATTATTCTCAGTGTATGTCTCAGTATAAGGCCCAGTAATCTCATAGATTTAAATTAAAATAAAATAAATAAATAATAATAATTTTTTTTTTTTTTACTAATATATCAGTAGATCGATTTAGGATTTATTTAAGTGAATGAATATCAGAATACATATTAATATTTTAATATTTGTATACCATCGTGATAATATTATGTAATGAAATGTATTGATTTACTGCAGCTTACACATAGGTAACTGGTTAAGTGAACAAATAGTAAAATAAATAATGGAAACATATTAAATATAATAATGTAAACAGTGGTAACATATATACACAACTAACAATCCATAAAAACTTATTAGACTGTACTAAATAACTGTTGCTCACTTTAATACAATATAATATAAGTGGTTCGAAAGTCAAAACAACGCAGCCGAAAAAATGATTAGTGATTTCAAAGATTAAATTAGTGTAGTAATGATGAGTAATGATTAAAATGAATGCCAAGTCTACACAGAATGGAGTGTTACAAATCCATTTATAACGAATCTAAACAAAAAACATCATATAATTTGAAAAGTAACCCTAACCTAAATGTAAAAAAAAATTTATACGAAATATAAAATATTTAGAATATTTCTATAAYAATAATAAATCATTGACTTTGCGCAGGTTTTAAAAAACGTATAAGATAAACAATAGTAAATGGTTAACATTGTGTACCAAATTTTCAGATCATGGAGTTTTAAGCGATTTCTTACGCTTTTGAGAAGCTAATTAAAAATCAAGATTTATTTTTAATTAATAATTAAATAGAATGGCAAAACTAAAAATAGGTTAACTTTAAATTTTTATATTTATGTTACTTGAAAACGGTAGCAGATAAGACATCGACGATTGAAACAAAAACATCATTGTAAAACCAAKACAACACTATTTTGTTCAATATCTAAAATATACACAGGTAACTGTCAATTTTTGTCAAGTGGACGTAAGTAGATTTACTATGATAAAGGTTAAAATAAACTTGTATAAAAACAAAACAACGATTTCATAATAATATGTAGTATTTGTTTGAACATTCAAATGCAAATCGTAGAAACATCTTAAATAATTTATGTAAATCAAGTTTCATAGTTGACACCTGTTGGCTGTTTGAATATTGTATTCATTCATCAACTCAAATCTTTATAATGTAAATTCAAATAACAATTATATAAAATACGATAAAATGTACAATATAATGTTACTACATTTAAAATTATTTCTTAAATATATGCATAACTGCTGTAGACAATACAATAATGTATACATAAAAAGAAAACCCATTTTTGGACGTATCACGAGTTTGAGTATATATGTATTTTTTTTTTTAACATACTAATTTCAGAAATTGAGAAATGTCAAGAACTCATTCCCAATTTTAAAACCATTTCATATTTCACATTACTTTAGCTTAGATGTTATAAATGGAATTATATAAATCAAAAGTTTTGATAAAACTTGTAATAAACATTTTAAGTATAAGTACCTTTTAAAAGATCAACATATATAATCTAAGTATAGGTATTTCTTTAAAATGTTTTATTCAGAATTTTTAATTTTTATGTCACAAGAGTAAACAAATTTTCTTTTCGGATTTGTTGACAGTACTGCTGTATACAATAATATAGTCAATATGTTATTTGTTTTAATATTAGTTATGTGTTATTGAAGCTCCGTTAGTTTCTTTATTTTATTTGTTCTACGAATCGTCATAATATAATATAAGTGTGGGTGTTTATATAAAACGTAGATCTTTTTTTAATATTACGATATTTGTCTTTATTTCATATATATATTCTCTTATTTATCTTGCAGTTGTGGGGGAAAAAATAGGTAAACATAGACCGAAGAAAATAACTTATAAATAAATACATGTAGGTATAGGTATAATATCAATGATTTCTTCGGTGCAATAAAATATATTCGATAATGTGTGTTTCTCAACAGGCACAGATTTCKAGGTTCCGAATAAATATAATAAAATAACCATTTAAATGAATATCCTTAGAATATTTTATGCACAGCTATACTTGATCCGATTACAGTACGTTTTTGCGGATTAAACTTCTCGTGTCATAATATCATACGTGAACCGAATCGCATTAAATGTTTTAATGGGACGCAGTGGCGTGTGCTGAGAATACGTATGCGCTAAAAAATAAAAAATAAATAATAAAACAAACACCTCACGGCCCCGGTCGATCGGCRAGGTATCATACGCGTTGTTCTATAATCGTTTTGTCATATGAAAAAATTTTTCGTGATGACCAGTTTATAAGATCAAACATAAATATATAGAGGGCGAAAATTATATTTTTCCAATAGAAATATTTAATAGTAATACTAGACTTAATAAACTTCCTAGTCGTGTGCGATCGGAGTCATACACAATTTKGTCGGTCATCATTTATAAAACGTGTTTGTATATTATACACTACGTGGTATGTGTATATACGATGTATGATAATCCCGATGACACGTCGGGTAAATCCTTTGAACATTTGGGTCATTTTTGATTTTAGATTTCGGTGAAAGCTGATTGCGTGTGGGCGCGGTAAACTACGAGCTGTACATAATATTATCTGTAGGGCTCTGAAAAACTGCGATTATTGTTGCAGAGGTTTAAATCCGTCCCGTGTGGACACTGACAACACTTTATTACGAAACCGACTATATCAATAATTGTTATTATTCCTGGGGGCTTTCACGAGAGCAGCTACAAACATTTGGTCCCTCTGCAGTGAGCACGCATATATATTATGATAATATACAACAATATTATATTTGCGTGCAAATCGATCAGCATAAAAAAAAAAAAAAACAGGCACATATATTCAACTTTAACTGTTTTTTTTTTCTTGTCGGTATCACCCGTTTTTAAAAAATAAAAGTCCATTTAATTCTACATTTTTTTTTTCAATCGACAATATCGTAAATCAGTAAGGTGGTCGACCGGTTTAAAATAAAAACAGTGCATACACACATATATGCGTGTACGCACCTCCGCTACCACTGGTACATATATATATATATATATATATATATATTACGTTACTAGTACGGCTACACCGGCATAATATAACGACAAACCTGGTGTCGTTTTTATCCGAGAGTTGCATTAAATATATATATATATATATATATATACACACATGTATATAATACAGGAACCCACCACGGTCCGACGTAAAGCGCTGGACAGTTTCCAACGGCGACCAATGGCCTGCAATGGCGGCAAGGTTAATTTATCACCATTTACACACACACACAACATGCTCATACAAAGTGTATACACTGCATCACCGATCGATCGGAAAAAGCTTTAGAGCTGACGAAAGCTTTCTCCGTACACATATACAAACACACATACACATATCTATATATATATATATATATATTACGGTGAAATATCTACGCCGATTACGACGACGATGTAGCCCGCCCAGCGCACAATGGGTACTCGCGACGTGGGGCAAATGAAGGCAG